TGATTCTTGCAAATCGACGGACTATGCAATTTTGTTTCAAAATCCGATGAATTTTCTTAGTTAACAAATGGAATAATTTCCAAAATACTAATCCAGTAAGAATAGATCAAAAAATGGCAAATAGAGGAACTAAATCATGTATTACTAATTCCTTCGGAAATGTGTAGCAGAAGGTTCCCTGATCAACATATAATAAAGTCCCCCCGACTTCCGGGTGTGCTAGAGGGGTGAGGAGGAAGACCGTGGTTTTGATGGTCACATTGTATAGTTTTTTTACTTACAATTCGAAAACGGTGCGTCATATAAAAACATTCTTTTCAATATAAATACAAGCTCATTAAATTTGCTATAACTTTGATTCTATACACTTTCTTAAAAAAACCACCGTTTTTAACTTTTTGATCCACCAAGATTGAATATGTGGATTATACACATGCATGACCGTACTAGCCACCTTGATACGTATAGCGTGATTCACCCTCAACAGTGGTGGGGTTGTATGAGAGGAGAGGATCGAATGCTCCACCCCATCAAGACTAGCGACCCGCCAGCACCGGCCAATGTCCTAAGTTGCATCTTCTGGCACTGGAGGCGGCCCGAGGTGTGGCTGTGGTAAGACGGGCATCAACTGCACTTCAGCTTGTGGATGTGAAAGTGCGTACTTCAAAACGGCCCACCGGTCCTCTAGGACGGCGATGAAGAAGACATCACTTTTTCGAACAGCGAAAATTAGTCTTGAGTATTGTTAATATGTGTTACACATTGTATAAAGCACGATCCACTTTCGAATTACTACCCCTCCTTTATGCAGTAGTTACGATGAGGTTTCTTGGAGGGAAAAAACCAAAGGAAGTCAAGATGTAGTAGGTGTTGGTCATATACTACATTGATTGTATACACATATGAAAATATTCAACCTTGGATAATCAATAACATAAAAACGATGCGTTTTTTTCCGTTTTTTCCTAATTATGTATCCATTCAAAGTTATATTATAGCAAATTTAATAAGCTTTCATTTTTAGGTACAGAATTGTTTGCTATAGCGTACCTTTTCCACGTTGTAGGCAAAACACTATAAAATGGGACCTTCATAGCAGCTCTCACTCTCCTCCCCCCTTTAGCACAGCCGGTAGTCGGGGGGACTTTACTTTATGTTGAATAGGGAAACGTCCCTTACACACTTCTGAAGGAACTGGTAATACATGAATTAGTTCCTCTATTTTTCCTATTCTGACTGGGCTATACCACAAGAAAAGTAAATCTATAGTAGGCGAATGGAAAGCTCTCGGAAAGACCTACATTAAAAAAATACGTCCAAATCCGAGTTCCCGAGAAATCAGCTTTTGACTTCGGACTTGTTTTCGACACAACAAAAAATGATTTTGCAAATCGGGTCGCATCGAACGATTCTTTTGGGTGAGCTTTTTAATGCTTCTACTTTACCAAAATGTATGACTTTTATTAATCAGAACGCCAAGGGCCTATTATAGAGTTACCTTCCTTGTTATATTTCGGGAGTTATTCAATTTGTTAGTTAACTAAAAAAAATTCCACAGTCCATCAATTTGCAAGAACCATCGGGACAATTTTTGGAAATGGTTGTCTTAGGATTTCACCATCTGTAAACAAATGTAGAACGCTCTGGGAGTCGCCCAGTTTAAAAGACCAAGTATCGTTTTGTAAATTTGTTTATTTAATTATGCAATAACTATCAAATTTACGGTGATCGGGTTTGTCATATTGTTTTGTTATCAAACGAAGTCACCAAATACGGATTTTCAAAAAGATCGGATGAATTTTACATAGTAATAACCAATTGATCATCTTCGGGATTGCTTTTTTATATTTTTCCATAAAAAAACTATAACATTTGAAAATTAACGTTTCATAACCATTGTATCTTATAGAAAATTCAATTCTAAACCAATTCATTTCTCTTCATTTTTTCCTTTAGAGTAATAGTTAACGACATAATTGAAGTCAAATGCGAAAAGAAACGACATCTTGCCATTTTTTCATCGTTTTTTGTTTATACATAACAATATTCCGGGAGTTTTCGGCTAGGGGGACTATGGTTTTCGGATTCAGGGGATCTTTTTACATAGAAGACACTTTGATTTCGTTGAGTGAAATGACAACACCCGAGCTCAATCTGCCCAAACTGTAATTTGACTGCACTAAGTACTTATGAATATTGACACAACAAATGCGATCGCGTGGCATTTGACATCATTTTCATTCGTCCAATAGTGAAGCGTTTCGCAAATTTGAATTTCGTTCGCTTATTTTGCACTTTTGAATTACCATTTTTAGCAATTAAAAACAAACTAAATAAGAAACTAATGGTTTAAGTATAATGTCAGGACAATAAATATTTGCTGGAGAAAGAATCAAGTAAATTTAAACCACATGCATATTCCCTATTGTAAATAGTAAAATCAACGTCCATTTTTAGAATGACAAGTGAGTTCAACATACTCTTTGGTTCAACTGAGGTTCGCAGTTAATTTTTGTAAAACGAATACGGCTAATGTGTTCATGAAATACTAAATGCACACAGGTTTCAAATTCCCCTTTAATTTGTTGTTTAAAAGAATGAGTATAGCATCAGAAATTATTAATGGACGAAAAATTTAGGTATGCAAGTGGATTTCCCAATTTATGTAAAAATAAAGTTGTTACAAGGAAGTTTTCAGGCTGTATACATTGAAGTATATACATATTTAGCGCACTTTTTTAAAAAATGGGTGGTTTGCGTTTTGTCCGTCCGTCCGGACCCACTTCTGCTGTTCTGAGCTATGTACCTTTAGGAGAATGGTCCTAGAATCCTGGAATTTTTTACAATAGGTAATATATACCTTTAAGGTGTGCCAGACGGCCATCACATTTCGATGTCAAGGGGGGGGGTGAATTATTTCTTGAGATACTTGTTTTTGAAAGTAAATTATAATTAATAAATTACTATAATTTATTTTCCTTCCCCTTTCTCCTTTCTGGGCCCTACCCACCATTCCCCTATGTGTTGAGACGTTCGTGAGATTGAAAACATCAGTAGAACGCATTTTGGATCCTAGGAAGTTTGATTACAAATTTTTGCAAATGACTTACTAATTAATGACGGTACTAAAATTTTTATAATGGAAGATAATGGATAATTTTTTATATAAATTCAAAAATTCACTTACAAATTTAGATTCTTAACTTACAAATACCTACTAATGACTTACTAATTAATAAGCGACAAATTGAATATAAATTCGGAATTTGAGGGGCTATAACTTGTGCATTATTGTTACCACCCCGAGCCACTTCGATGATTATTTGCTCACGCATCCTTTGGGAACTACACCCTCTGATTTTGGTCAAACATATTTCACTAAGCACTACGAAACATATTACACGCTTCCACATTTTGTTCTTTTAAGCAGGATCGCCATGTAATGTCCCACCCTTAAATAATTAAACTAACTTAACTATCTTCTACCTACTGAATGCATATAATATATTTCTTAGGTGTCTACTTCATATTTACTACCTCGTTTCATACTGTACTTCCTCTGCTCGCTTCCTTCTCATCACTTTATCCTTCGCCCGCACTTATTATCATAATAAATTATCCTACTTATTACATTAATTACTCCATCACAGTTTTAAAAGCTATGCTGATATGTGGGACAGAATAAATGCCTAAAGTGTGTTGTAAAAAATGACGGACGCGTGAGATCTCGAGGATCGTTCGATATTCAGTTGTATCGGATTTCTAATTTATCAAATTGTAAGGTATGGGACATCGGTGCTGTAAAAATTGCCACTCTCGCCCTGATGGAACCAATCTTTTGCACAGCTGGATGTTACAAATGCATAAATTGCAAATAACAGTTGATGTTAAATTGGAATTACAAATTAAAAAGCTTCTTTCGCGAGGAAGGAGCTTGAAGCTCTTTAAAGCCTTTCAGAGACTTGCACAGCTTTGATTTGCAAATCGCATATTTATAAATATTAATCATCAGCGTGCACAAATTCGAAGACTCACTTTTCTTCGTTTGTTTCAATTAAAAACGTGACAGTTGAGAAGATTCATTTTACGTAAATGCTTGAATCCTTAATTTGTATTCAAAGCTATAATATCCCTATTTATATAGGACTAGAATGCTTCAAGATTCTATGAACTACACTAACTAAAGTTATTAGTACAAAGCGTAGCTTAGAATAATTGGTTCACCATTCTCCATCTCCTAAATAAACCAAACAAAATTAATAAACGCTAGGTTCAGATTTCGCACTCAACTGCCCCGATTCCAGGACTGCGTTCGGTTCGGCACTTTGTTATAAGGCCGGAGGCGCCTTTATCAATTTAAATTAAATACATACACGCGGAACTAGTTATTAGTTGGATTCTCCCAGAAGTTCGCCAACATAGATGGTTGCTTGGAGCTTTTTGTGATATAGGGCATTTCGCGAGTGTAACAAAATAATCATCAATTTACGGGATTTGTGGGTTACCCCTTACCTTTACGTTGATGCATAAAATTTATTGGCTATTTTCCCAAACCAAAGTGGTAAATTTCATTAGAGTCACTTAGGTTGTGTCACTTTCATGCCTGTCTATAAAAGCTTACCAGAACCCTAACATTCATACAATCCCTTTTAGTGTTTACAGCAAAATTTGCAGAATGTTGGGGTTTCGCATAAAATTTAACAACGTTGCTTGCTTATAAATTTCGACGCGATAACTTTAATTCGAAATTTGTGAAATTCACTGGTATTTTGAGCGAACGAAGATTGAATTGTGATTATTCCACCACACATGTGCATAAACATTAAACAACATAGAAAATGAACCGTTTCCAAGTTGTACGTAAAACAATGAGCTTTAGGTATGCAGTTGAAAACGCTATGCAAATCAAGGTAGACGTGTTACCTTAATTAAAGTGAACACTCATTGCGATTAAGAAGGGTAATATCAGTGCTAATGCTAATGCCTGTTTTCTGTTGCAGGATCAATGCTGCTGGGTTTGTGTATCTTGCAGAGAAGACGCCTATGTCTATAACGACACTTGTCGATCTTGTTCGCCCGGATATGGACCAAATGCAAATAAGACTGGCTGTGTAAAAATAAAAGCGTTAATTTTAGAGTGGTTAAATCCGTGGGTGTTAGTTCCGGTAGTATTTAGCTCAATTGGTATATTATCTACACTATTTACTATCGCTGTATTCATTCGATATAACAAAACTCCCGTGATTATGGCGTCGGGACGGGAGCTGTGTTACGTACTTCTTTGCGGCGTTTTATGTTGTTACTCGATGTCTTTCGTAATATTAGCGAAACCTTCGGTCGAAACTTGTGCTGTGATGCGCGTTGGTCTTGGTCTATGTCTAAGCGTTTGCTATAGTGCCATTTTTACTAAAACGAATCGAATTTCCAGAATTTTTAATCGGGGCGTTAAAACCATTAAGAGGCCTATCTACACGTCCCCAATATCACAGGTCGTAATAGCTTTAGGTACGGTTGCACTGTGGATATATTCGCAAGTACTCATTTGTAATTTCGTTACAGGAATCGTATCCATACAACTGATTGGAGGAATAGTGTGGTTGGTTATCGAACGGCCTGATATTCGAGAAATTTATCCGTATCCACTTACGGCCGTCTTGACCTGCAGGGTGTCAACGTTTTCGCTGGTCATGTCTTTGGTTTATAACATGATTTTAATAATAATGTGCACTTGGTATGCTTTTAAAACAAGAAAAATTCCAGAGAATTTCAACGAGGCCAAGTATATTGGATTTACGATGTACTCGACTTGCATCGTTTGGCTTGCATTTCTACCCATCTACTTTGGAACAAATAATGATTACACGGTAAGTGCTTTGGACTTACTCGAGCATTAAATATAATTTTCTCGTTTCAAACGGCTTTCACAAAATACGGTTATTATTTGTACAATAGGTAGGTAGCGTAAAATCATAACATACATATTTTCATGGTAATTCATTTATATTCCAAACACTGTATACGCTGGATCGCGCAAATTTGTTGAGGAAAGCCCTTTTTTTAATGTTGACTATAATCCAGAAAAATCCTGCTAATGTAAAGCAAAACTTCTCAGTAGATCCACCTAACACATAATAACATTCCCGATATAATTCCTTGAAAATTCTTAACCATTTATGCAAATCGGAATTCGAAACGAAACCACCCTACATTCAATTGTCGCAATTCTTATATAGAACACCATTTTATTATCGATTTTCAAACTAATTTACTTTATAAAGGTTAAAGGAATAGGGTAACTTGCAATGAATACTTTGTGTAGTCCATAAAATTTCAAGTTATCTTTCGGAGCTTTCGAAACTAATTCCCTCCTACAAAAAATTACAAGTAAATGTAGCAATACAATAACAACATGCTGCTAACGTCAAAACTTTCACGAATGTCAAAATATTGTAATGCTGTTTCAAATTTTTTATTCCATTTCGACACTTTTAAATTTGTTTTGTTGGAGTTATTATTTCATAGTTCGTTATTTTGCCGCTAGAGGTCACCCGAATGTATTTTTCCCTCTCTTTATTTTCCTTAATTTTTTCTGCGTGCATACTGCGAAAACCACTACCTGCACAAGATTCTTGCTTCGATCGTTACGTGTAAAGAATAACGCACCATACTTTTACGCGACACTTGTGCCTACTTCTGTGAAGTTTTCCTTGTATTTACTACTATTGCTTCAATGAAACGCTTTTAGCGGCTATATTTTACAAGTGCTTAAGTGTATAGATTTGCGTAATAACCAATGAACATTCATTCTATTTGGCTATTATCTAGTTGAGTATTTCGACTTACATCAACGCCTTGGATATTATGCAGAATTTGAATGACATGGCATTTGATATAACTACGACACCAATATCTCTGATGTCATCGACGTTACTTTTGTTGTTCCGAAGAACCATTCGTTAGTTTAACGAGTTATTTAAAGTTACGATTATTTTGTTATTGACCGTTTGTCGCGTCAAAATTCTGCTTTTGTTTAGTTAACGTAAATTGAATTATTGGTTCTTATTAAGTGATAATGACGGTTTGTAGTATTCGAGTGCCGAACGTTTAGGCATTCAGTTTGTTGGGATACCGTGAAGTGAATCCTTTAAAAAAATTATCATAGTCCTCGTGTAAGATTCCAGGGACTTCAGCGCATATTTGTGTGGCTAGCATCAATAAGATCTTGTCGAAAAATACCACATTCCCTTTGTCGATACCAGCCAACGTTCCATTCACTCGCAATTCGCGTTTGAAGTTTTGACTCCATCATCAGTGAGCTATTGTCAGGGGCTACCACATTCCCTTTGTCCCTTTGTCGGTACCCACCCGACGTTTGTGAGTCTTTAAAAAGGTTACCGAGCTGTGCATCTTGAGTAATTGAAGCCTCAATGTTATTGCGTAAGAAATTATTACCTACAAACCCAATTGGAATTAGTTATCTTTATCAAATTCTTTATTTTGAGTTTCGATTTAGTTTAGTTTAGTTTTGATGGATAAAGAAATAGGACTAGGGAAAGAGTGGCCACGATTTAGAATTTCTTGATCAGAATTCAAAGGAATCTTAATCCGGTTATGAATATAAAAAATGTAAAGTGAAGTCGACGTTGGATCTAAATAAGTTCGCACGAAATAACTGATAAAAATTGCGATAATTGCGTCTATGAAAACTAGACTATTTAGAAGAGTGACGTTCCGATATTCCGATTGAATAATTGAATTCTGTTTTACATATGACGTTGTACAGTTGCCATTCCAATGTCTCCGATGGATTGCGAAATCTGTAAATTTTTTTTATGGCAGATTTTCTGACTACGGCATATTTTTCATCGTTGCTTTCATTGTTTTCTAGAAGTACGTTGCAATAAAGGTTCTGCCAAATGCTTAACGTAAGAAATCCAATATCTTTAATGTAATTTCAATGCTTATATGCCACCTCGAAAAGTGATGATTTTGATTCACTAAAAATGCAGGTAATTTAACAACTTTAATCTTATCAGTTATCAATATGGCACACAAAAACGAGGGCTCTGAAAAATCCAATAACCGTACAAATTATTTTTGTGTTCCTCTGGATTTTCAATCGGGAGATTAATGATGCGACAGAGATTTAAATTTTAAATTGCAAGCGCAGTATAAACCTCAATTTTACGTTGTTTGAACGTACACATCTATTATCAAAATGCTACACGCATACAAACTTTTTGGATTACTGACAAGTGCATGACTTAATTGTAATTTTTCGCGTGTTCTGAAGAGAACAATGAACTATTATCAGAGTACAAAGGCAACTGGGAAAGTCCCACTAATATATAAATTATTTTCTTTTACCTGTTGTTAGAGGAAAATTTATTTTACATTTCCCCTGTGTGCTTTGAATTATTTCCTAGTAAATTTCAGCTCCTATTGGATACTCCAGTTAAAATTAATGGCGTTAGGAAAATATTCTTAATCTCTACGAATTGCGGGGGCTAAAAAACAATTAAATTGACCACCTTTAAGTCATAATAAGCATAAGCTTTATTACGTTCGAGTCAAAGCGTATGCATGCAAAGATATTAAACAAGGTGTTTAGAAATAAATCTTACTGTCGAGTGTAGCTTTTCAGCAAACTGTTCGCTAAATGGGGCCATTATTAACACAAAGTTACGTCCTTTTTGCAGATGGGAATACCGTGGGTATTTATTTATCTGGTAAAGTAGAAAGCATTCGCAATTTAGTTTCGTAAGAGTTTATACTTCCGAAAAACATATGGCACACTTCCATTCCGTTTGTTACAGAAACATGTCAACCGTAAATTGATGACACTCAAAGTTTTGACGCTTAAAATTCTGCTCCATTGACGAATTTATTGTTTTGCTTAAGACAGTAAAGGATTAACTATAAATCATACATTTTAATGGTCATTATCAGAATCGATTATGAAATTTAATATACGGGGTGTCCTAGATCGAGTGAGATTGCATAGATCACATATCTTTGTGGTATTTCAAATTTGTGGGGTGACAAATTCCGTTAGAAAATATAAAAAAACGGGCCCTATTCCCCAGAATCTCTTTTGAGTTAGTAGCATCTACAATTTAATTTTAGTCGGTACGCGCCGTTAGTACTTGAACTTAAAACGTTGTGTTACAACCAAGATTGTAACACTAAGTAATTTTAACTAACTGTGATTGGACTGGGACCACCAGAGGGCGTAACTGCCATCTTAAATTTTAAAATTGCATTTTTTTTAATTTTCGAATAATAAACTAAAAAATTTTTTTCACCTTTTTAAAGAGAACCAGTTATCATTTTCGTAAAAAAACTCCGATTTTAGCAAATTTCGTATCGTTGAAAATAGCATTCATTGGGCAATAAAAATCGACCAAAATATAGTCAATTTAGTTGAATCCTTCTCCGCCAGGGGGCTAGTTTTGACACCATGACCCAAAATTCTAAAAAAAGCAAAACTATCAAACGGAATGATATGACTTTTTCTTTATGAAAAAGTAGCCAAATAACATCCAAAGAGACCAATGAAAATCGTTTTCAAAATTCGGTCCTAACCTCAAATATTGGGAAAATACGCGATTTTTTCCCAATTTCGATTAGTTACAGTTGATTTTATGAAAAAAGAGCTCTGCGTCACTGGTTTTGTGAACCAATTCAACGAGAGTTCTTTGTTCATGTCAACACATGAGCGAGGAAACAGATGGTAACAATTTGAAATAGAAAATTGGTTCACAAACTAGTGACACAGGGACTTTGGTTCTAACGGGAATTGAATGAACCCGCTTAGTTCCCGAAAAACACACCCTCTCCATGCCGTCACTACTATGTCAATAAACCCACCCCCAAAATGACGCTAATAGCTTAAAGTGGTCATCTTTAATGTTTTAACAATAGACCGCGCCCACTTAACCTAATCACGCGCATATAAAAACGATCAACGACGAATTTTTCCAGCACTTCAATAAATGAACTTGCAAAGGTATATAAATTAATAACAATTGTGCTAATTGTTTATTAACTTCATTTAGATTTTTATAAGAAAGAATAATTATAAAAAAATTACCTGCCGTACCAAATAAAATAATAACGTGTACCGACGGCGCTAGAAGTAAAAATGATGTTAACGAGCAAGTATTGAAATTTAAATTAAATGTCTCAGAAAGTTCAGGACAAAACAATTGAATAAAATTTATTCATTATAAATCCTTTTTTTTTTACTCAATTAAATAAGATTAATGCTCACGAAGTGGAATTAATCTTAAATTTACTCCTTTATGTAACTTTGGTCGTAAAGTCATTAAATATGTTGATGACTATGGTGTAGGTACGTACTGCCAGAACATACTAATTAAAACTTTGTTAAAAACCCCTTTGCGTTTCGACGTCTAGATTAACCCCCTATACTTACCGTAAGCTGCAATTTGTTATTTAGTCATTTGTGATAAATCCCTGAAAGTCCACTAACTTCATTTTACTAAACGATAAAGGGTTCCTCAAATGTTGTTATAATCATAAAATTACTCCCCATTACTCATGTTTCCTTCTTATTTCCTTTGTAAGGAAGCCAAGATTGTTTAGTTTAGAGGGGAAAATAATATGTAAGTATTCATAACAACTCTCTCTCGGGCATTTAAAGAACGAGACTAATTTGTAAACATTTAATTTAAACCCCACATAAACTCAACCGAGGAGACTTTCGGAAAAGTTTCTTTTGTGTAGGGATTTCACTTTAACAGGAAGTGGTTTTGTTACTTTTTACTCTAAAGAATTTGGTATAGCTTTTTTATAAAAGTACCTACGTATTTGCTAACATCTTCTTCGATATAATAAAGCC